TGTGTGTGTGTGTGTGTGTGTGTGTGTGTGTGTGTGTGTGTGTGTGTATGTGTGAGACAGAGGATGGTCCTACAGCCTCATGAAGAATGACTGTACCAGGTACTTGAAACCATCACGCCTTTAAAGAATAGACTCTTGGGTGCGGGCTTCTGAGCAGACGTCACTTGAACACCTCTCAGATTAGCCCTGTGGTCTGCGTCCAGATTTCCAGGACTCTCTCCATTCCAGGAGCAAGACAGCATCATGAAAGCTGACTGCTAATCCAAGATCCAGTGGAACAGGAATGAATTACATAGGACTGCATGAAATGATGGGGCAATTTTATTGTGGTTCTGTGTTTAAACTAATAATGTTTTATCGCTCTATTTTCTGGTTCTATGGGGAAGCCTTTTCTCTTCTTTGGGGTCCCTTGTAATCCACACAATTAAGTAGACTCTGCTTTTGGAAACAAAAATAAGGCATTTAAAAATGATACTTTGTTTCCACTGGTGTGTAATGGTATTTCATTTCACTAATGGCTAATGATGTCAGTCTTCTGTTTGTTTTCAAGTAGGCTCCATGCCCAGCGTGGAGCCCAGTGCGGAGCTTGAACTAATGACCCTGAGATCAAGACCTGAGCTGAGATCAAGAGTCGGACTCTTAACCGACTGAGCCACCCAGGCGCCCCAATGATGTCAAAATTTTATGTGTTTGTTTGCTGTTCATACACACTTTTCAGTGTCTTCCTGCCTCTCTGCCAGGGGATTAGTGTGGGTGCTCAGCTCCTCAGCCATGGCAGACAGACTTGTCCCCTTGAGGTGTCTGCCCCGTTTGGAGGACTCCCACCCCCTCAGGAGGGGGCAGTGCACCTGTCGGACACCTTCTCTGAAAGCTGAGTAGGACTGCCCAAATTTGGAACCCTCTGAGTCCCTGAGAGTCCTGGAGCAGCCACGGAACTGCCAGCCGGGGGTAGAGGAAGCCTCTGGTACTTTGGCCCTGGCACCCGTGGTAGCTATGACCCCACAGCCGTCATTTGGTGATACTGTGGTGCCGGGCAGTGTGCTGAGAGCGTGTGTGCAACTAGGATCACCCCAGGCCACCCAGAAACACTAGCCACATTTCATTGTGTGATGGGAGCACACACGTTACTGTGTGGCCCGAGTCTCTGCCATGCGCTCATCTGCTGTCGCTGCTGCAGCCAGTTACCACAGACTTGCTGCCCTAAAACAACACACACTTACTATCTTAACAGCTCTGGACGCCAGAAGTCCAAAATGGGCCAACATTGAGGTATCAGGGGCTTCTGCAGGCTCCAAGGGAGAATGTTTTCCCACTTTGACGACTTTCTAGATGCCTCCTGCTTCCATCTTGAAAGGCAGCCGTGGCTGGCTGAGCCTTTTGCACAGTGCATCACTTGATCTCTGCCTCCCTCTTTCCCATCTAAGGACCCTTGGGATTACTTGGGGCACAGGGGTAATCTCCCTAAAGTCAGCTGATTAGCAACCTTAATTCCTTCTAGGACCTTAATTCCCCTTTGCCTGGTAAGAGAACGTATTGACTACGTCCTGACGTCTTTGGGGGGCCCATAATGCTGGGGAGTGTTGGGATACTGGGTGGGGAAGCTGGGAGGAACGGGGTCCCGGGGTGTGTGGGTGGAGCAGGCACGGGCAGGACCTGTGCAGGAGGCGCATCTTGCCGCTCTCAGGGACTTCCCCCCTCTGGCTGGAGGAGCGGCTGAACGCTTACCAGGTCAGGTGCTCATGGTGCCATGGCGGGGAAATGCTGCCGGGGAGGAGCTCTGGGGTGAGGGGTTGCAGTGGGCTACAGTTTAATCAGGGTGGGCCTCACTGAGGAGGTTCTTCATCTGAAAATAGGATCCATCCCATAGGATTGCTGCGGCATTAAATGAGGTAATGTCAAAAATGCATCCTGTAGACAGTGAATGATCATATTTAAAAAGTTATCTATTCTAGAATCTCAGCTCTGTGGATGCATGGGCCAGGCTGGCCCTCTGCCATGAGGCATCGGATGAGTGGTGGGGTTAATTACATTTTGAGGAGGAGAGGTTAAATTGGAGGTGGTCTAGAGCTCCTGGTTGGAGGTGCCCCCTGCTTGGAGGACATCACCTGGTCCCACTGTTGCCACACCCAGCTGCTCTCCCTATTAGAGGGAATGTGGATCCAGTCTGTGGGATCCATATGCTGGCTCCGCCCCACACTGGCCGTGAGATGTGGGGTTCTTCCTTCACCTCTTCAATCTTGAGTTTCCTTGTCTGTGCAGTGGAGGCGGTCACAGCACCTCTCCAAGGAGTGAGGGTTACCTCACGTCAACTGTTTAGCATAATACCTGGCGCTTAGCTTTCGGTGAAGGGATCACTGCTGTCACTATCTCGGAGGTGGAGAAACGAACATGGAGCAAAGAGGGGACAGGCTGATGGAGACAGGCCGGGAATGGCGAGGAAAAGCCGAGAGTACTGGGGTCCTACGCCCCTGCTTTTCGTGGTTACTCCCCAGTTGGGTGGGTTCCTCCCGCACCCTCCCGCCCAAAGAACAGGCTCCTTGTCAAGAAGAGCTGCTAACTGCAGAGAGAAGTCGACCACTTGACCAGAACTGGGTGAGCTTCCACGCAGAACGTTTCCACTTTATTGTCTGTAAACGCTTCTTTGGTAAACAAGGAGACAAGGAACCCACAGAGCAAAGGAGCACGCTGGGTCCAGAAGACAAAGGGCGGGCACCCTCCACAAACAGGGGCTCTGAGAAGACAGCTATGCCATTAGCGAGGTGGGGGTGGAACGGGGGAGAGGGGAGGGTCGTGGGAGGGAAGAGTTGGCTCGGTGGGACAGAGAAGCCTAGATCACACAGCGGAGGAGCTCATGCATCACAGCGAAGGCGGACAGGGAAGCCCCGCCCATGCCCCGCCCACCGCCCACGCGGGTGGTGCCCAGCTGCGGGCAGAGCAGCATGCCGGGTCGGGTCAGGTCCGGAGGCCCGTCAGCAACCCACCCTCCATCTCCTTTCCTGTTCTGCAGGCTGGTGTGTGCAGGCGGCGGGGGCGGAGGAGGGGCGCTCACGATCTCGGGGTCGGGGAGAAGTGGCAGGGCTGCGAGGGCAGGGTTTGGGGGAGGCGGAGAAACAGCCCCTGGCCCCCCTTTACATGGGGGGCTCGCTGCAGAGGACAATCTCCAGGTCCTTGCGGTAGAGCTTCCCCGCTTCAGCCAAGGACATGACGCTCTTTTTGTAGGTGGTGAGCTGTTGAATATTCATTTCCTAGGAGACACAGGGAGAGAGTAAGAGCCCCTCACTGGATGGCTCCAGCGGAGCATCCCATCTGCTCATTCACAAACACATCCGCCAGAACCTTTCTCTTGTCCCCATCCCAGCAAACATGGGCTTTGGAGTCAGAAAGTCCTACATTAAACCCTCTCTCTCTTACTGGCTGCATTGCTTTGGGGAAAGTATTCATCCTTTCTGACTTTCAGCTCAGCTGCCTCATCTGTAAAATGGGTACAATAACAGGGTCTGCCTCACTGAGGTGTTAGGATGGTTAGCTGAGGAGATGAACTCGAACAATGCCTAGCACAGCCCCTAACACAGCGTGCCCTCCCAAATCGGCTAGTCCCTATCTCTGCATGACTTGTATCAAGTCCCCGGCTCCCTGGGCCTCTTGTACTCCTCATGGGTCCTTGCAGGTGAGGAAGAGAAGGCAGCGGAAGCTCCCTGGTCTTGTCTGCCCACCCCACGGACCGTACTTTCCTCAACCTCACCCAATTAAAGAAGGAATCCTAACTCCTGCCTCCCCAGCAGCAAAGCTCGCCTGCCTGCTTACTGTTCACTGGCTTCTGTGGCCTTTCACAGGCCATGAGGACAGGTGACCCACAGACATATGGCCACTGTCTCATGTAAAATGGAGGCCAACATTAAACAGAACATCAGTACCAAATACGCCTTGTGTTGAATGCATGCTTTACAATAATTGATTTGGATACAAATAACCAATAGGTCTGAAATACAGCAAAGCCATCCATCACTTATACTATCTTTTTGTCTCCCTTCCTCTCTCCCTTGCTCGCACACTCCCTCCCTCCCCCGCTCCTTCCCTCCTCTCGTCTTGTCTTGAAACTGTTGGCAGATCTTCTTTCCTCCCTCCCTCCCTCCCTTTCTCTCTTTTCCTTTTTCTTTTTCTTCCTTTCTTTTCTTCCTTCCTTCCTTTCCTTCCTTCCTTTCACCACCCCTTTCAGGCTGATGGTCTTTATCTCCTTTCAGCTAATGAAAAAACTGAAGCATAAAAACTATGGTATTTGTTAAAGGACTGGACCAACTCTACCGCCACAAATATCCTTAGTTTCCTGAGTCCCGAAGTCTATCTAATTCTTTGCCTGGCTCACCTGTCCTCAGTCACCTCTTTTCTTCGTGCTCAAAGGTCAGTCCTTTACTGTGTCTCAGGACATCCCCTCAGTAGATTCCTGGTTTTGTGCCACCACCCACCCTGAAGGCACTTTGTAAGCATCGCTAGCTTTGGGGAGCATCTTCCCTAAAGTTGGGAAGTCCCTGGAAATATCACCTAGTTCGTAATACTACCTACCATTCAAATTAGGAGCCAAGGAGGGGACCCCATATATCAACCCAGAGCTGGAGAACCACCCGCCCCGACTCATTGTGGCCTCAAGAATCTTAGCAGCATGAAGGGAGAGGGCTGCTCACTTTCTAGAAGTTCTGCTTGAAGCTGAGGAAGGCTTTACTGAGCTGCAGTGGCCTCAGGAGTGGTGAGAAATATTGAGGTTTGATCTCACCAGCCTGTCCCTCAGGAGCTTCAAACATGAATCTGCTCAGAATCCGTATCACAGACCTCGCACCGTCCAAACGGCATGTGCGTCTGCCATGGGGGTTCACAAAAAACAGCCGCTCCCTTCCCAGCATGGGTGCTGCTGCCCCAGTCCCATGGCTCACTCCTGGTTCAGGCTCTCCATCCCCGGCGGCTACATCCTGAGCTTGGTACAGGTGGAAGACTCCCAGGTAATCAACTCTATTAATATCCCTGTTCTCCACCCTTCCGAGTTGCTTCTTAACCCCAACACCTGACTGTTTTTGTTTCCATATCTCCAGTGAACCTGTGTGGCCACAGGAGTTGTATTTTGTGGTAATTAGGAAAGAACCTAGGGGCGCCTGGGTGGCTCAGTTGGGTTAAGCCTCTGCGTTCAGCTCAGGTCATGATCCCGGGGGTCCTGGGATCGAGCCCAATGTCAGGCTTCCAGCTCATCAGGGAGTCTGCTTCTCCCTCTGCCCCTCCCCCCCCCCCCACCGCCCCGCTTGTGCTCTCTTTGTCTCTCTCTCTCAAATAAATAAAATCTTAAAAAAAAAAAAAGGAGCCTAGTTAGGCGATGAGCAGAAAATTCAGGTCACTCCCAAGATTTAATGCTTGCCTTCAGGGTCGAACAACCTCAGGTGTTAAGCTGGGCCATACAGAAAATAATGATGCCTCGTTAATACAATTACAGTTAAAGATATTTTCCACTAGGATGCCCAACACTCCTTGGACACATTAAGGGCACATAAATAATTTTCTCCTAGAGTTTGGTGCCAGGAAAGAGTCTGCTGAGTTCAGATACTTGGTGAAGACCTCCTTCTTCCTAAGAAGTATGTGCTTACTTATAATTTATTTTCTGCCTCTTTCAAAAAAGCACTTGTAGGTAACAAAAAAAAATAAATGTGGGATGAAAGAAATGAAGAATGATATTCAGGACAAAGATGAAGTGGTCAGAAAGCAAGCAACTGGAAGGGGAGACAGACTCAGAGGCTGCAGTGAATTTTTTCCCCTGAAACTGAACAGTAAATTTAGCTTGTGCCTGGCAGCCAAGGCAGTTAAACAATGCGAGGAACTATGGAGTGTTCATCATCTCATTAAAGAAAACAACAAAACCATTTGCTCAGAGAAAGGCATTTTCCAGGAAGTGAAGGAAGGTGGCTGCAAAGACAGCAGTGGGCTCCCGGTCCCCCTGCTGCTCCCACCCCCCGACCCCCCCCCCCCCCCCCCCCGCGATGAGCCCACCGGTGCCTGCGGTCTATCCTGGAAGCAACACCAACCAGGGGGAGTAATAGTTCGGTTCTCTGTCTTTTGCCTTTTCTTTGAGGGGAACAAATGCTTCCGTGCTCACCTCTTGCCCACTTCCAGACCCTGCATTTATTTTTTATTTTTTATTTTTTAAGATTTTATCTGTTCATTTGAGAGAGAGAGAGGGAGAAAGCATGCATGCACAAGCTGGGGGGAGAGGCAGAGAGAGAAAGATCTTCACCTCCCACCGGCCCCTTCTTTCCCAAATCTCTCCTTTTTAAAAAAATTTAAATTCAGTTAATTAACATATAACATATTATTAGTTTCGGAGGTTCTCGCAAATCTCTCCTTGTGGGAAAAGTCTTTTCTGGTGGTGGTCAGGCTCTCAGTGCCTCATCATTGTACCACTCCAGAGAACCAACAGGGGGAACACCCCCGAGGAGCTGTTGAGGGATGAACAGATGAAAGGTGGTGGACACGAACACTGGAATATTACTCGGCCTTAAAAAGGAAGGACGTCGGCATTGCTACAACATGGGTGAACCCGTAGGACATTATGCTCAGTGAGGTAGGCCAGTCACAGAAAGACAAGTCCTGGATGCCGCTGTTTCTAGTAGGTGCCTAGAGCAGTCCACTTCGAGATGAAGTAGAATGCTGGGGGCCGGGGGCCGGGGGAGGGAGGAATGGAGAGTGGTCGTTTACTGGACGAAGAGTTTTGGGGTTTTGCAAGAGGAAGAGTGTTCTGGATGCGTGGTGGTGAGGGCTGCACAACAATGGGGATGTACTGAATACTGCTGAAGTGTACGCTCAAAAAATGGTTAAGATGGTCAACTTTGTGCTAAGTGTATTTTACAATTAAAAGAAACATCAACCAATCAACGAAGCATCCAACCAGAAACAAAAGAACAGCCCCCAAACTGCGCTGCCTAGTTATGGGTGATCAGAGGAGAGCAAAATGCACCCCGCGTTCTTTTCCCCCCTCCCTCAGGAGCCTCTCTCCTGCCCCAGGGCCATGTCCCTAGGCCTCGGGGTTCAGTTGCTTACCTTCTTGTTTTTCTCATACAGGTCCTTCAGAAGGGCATCCAGCTCATTCTCATCGATGTAGCCGCTGCCGTCCTGGTGGTGGGGAGCAGGGGCAGCACAGAGCTCTAGAATCAGGCCCCATCACCCCTGACCTGGCCTCCCGATTCCCCCAGTGCAAACCAGGGAGCCTGCAGAGCCTGACCTTCCCTCTACTCTGCGCAGAGGGTGCTCACACCGTGCGGTGTTAAAATAACACCTAACTGCTGACTTCCCCAGCCGAGGCAGGAACGGGACGCTTCAGGGCAAATGTGCATCCTGGTGTTTTTCATTTGCATTGAAAATATAAATGAGGTTCCAGAAGCATTTAGCTAGCTCCCTAAGATGTCAGGATGAACACAGGGGCTATTAAATGCTTACCCCCCATGCTTTGGTTATAAGGGAGACTACTGGAGCCACACAGGTGGGGGCGGCAAAGGAAGGGGTGACGAGCGGTAAGGGGGTCCTCTCCCTCCCAACTTCCTAGCAAAACACTTGGCTCCGATGCGAAATTATGAGCTGGTGGCGACGGAGCAGCACTGAGCTCCTCCTTACTCTGAAGGACAAAGCGGAGCCATGTGTCTGGGGGCTCCCCTGCTTAGGGGGCCCCTGCTTTTACCTCCCACGCTGTCGTCCCTTTTACCTTGTCATAAAATGTGAAGATCGCGTTGAACTCCTCTGAGGTCAGCTTCATGCCCTGTAAGGCCCGAGGTATTAGAGAAGCAAAAGCCTGGGTGTGTGTGTGCGTGCGTGCGTGTGTCTGCGCATGCACATATATGTGCGTGTATGCATGCGTGTACAAGTGAGCGAGCAATGTGCCTGCATGTGTGTGAGCGAGCGTGTGTGCTGGAGGGCGGACAGGAGGGTGGCAGAGTGAAGTGCGTGGGGATGAGGGAAGGGAGGAAGTGAAGAAAAGCAGAGGCTCTTTTACCTGAAATTTAAGCAGGAAGTTTTCCTGTACAGGCAAGAGTCTGGAAAGGAAGTGTTAGAGCAGAGCTTAGGAGACAGGGCAGAGGCCAGAAAAACGGGGGCGTGGGGGGATGTGGAGGCGGCACCCGCAGTTCGGGAAACCGTCTCTGAGCACAGAGGAACTAGTGGCAAGTTCTACAAGGAGGGAGGCGGACACACTGAGGTGCTGACACTCTCTCTAGCTTGGTCTTGAGCTTCATGACACCTGACCTGTCACGTTTCCCCAACCCCCCCCCCCCCCCCCCCCCCCCCCCCCCCCCCGCCGACTGGTCTTCGAGCCAGGGAGGGTGGCAGGAACAGTCTGCAGAGGCCCTGGGAAAAGTGACCCTGGGGTGGGCTCAGGCACTTACCGGGACATCTCTGAGAGTCCCAGCTTGCCATCCCCGTTCAAGTCGAACATCCGAAGCTGTTGGGGACAGACAGAGGTGCCTGGGTGATTTGCTTTGACCTCTCCTGGGGGACCCTGACCTGCCATCCCCTTGTACTGAAAAGGAAGGGAGATGGGTGGGTGTGCTCTGCCCCCTCTGAGGTCCCCTGGAGGCCAGAGACCAGCATGGTCTAAATGGGTCCCTGATCCCCTCTCCCTTTCTTGGAGCGAGGGCCCCAGAAGCATGGCCGGCCAGCAGCAAAGGTCCACCCTCTCCAAGCCCATCCTCTCCCAGAGCTGGGGAGGTTGTCATGGAAACAGATGCTCCCAGTCTCATCCTAGCTCAGTGAGGATCTCAGACAGAGGGGGTGTGGGGCCAGAGACCAGCATCCCTTTTGCCAGTTGCCACTGGGAGTCACCTCACCGGGGCCTGAAGATTCAGCCAACAAAAGACCCTGGAGACCCAGAATCCCACTGGCTTGGGGCCCCAATCCTGTGCCTCTGGAGGGGGGAGGGACACTTCTGCCCACTCACTATGGTTTGGGTGTATTCTTGCAGCTTGGGTTCATCATATGGCCGGTTCGCCTTCTTCAGCAGGTCAGACAGAAATCCCTAGAACACAAAGGTCTCTTCAGAGCTCCTGACTCAGGCAGCCCCTCCCTTGTACTTGTTCCTTCATTCAGTCAACATTGTTTTCCGAGGTCTACCATTTGTATGACTTACATTTCTCCTAATTCTCTAATCCCTAATGCTTGGGGAATGACCATGAAGGCCTGGAGGTAGCTCCTGGATACAACTTCAGCCCCTAAGAGAGGCGGTGGAAACTGGCTTTGGCACCTCAGAGAGCCCAGGACACAGGGCTAAGCAGTGCCTGGGGATCCCTAGTTCCAGAGGAATGGTGGGGTAGATGTACAGGCCAGGAGGCCCATCTCCTGGACTCGCCTTGAAGGTGCCTGTCCTGGGCACTGATGTTCGAAGGAGTGTAGTCCGGTTCCAACTCCCTGGCCCTGCATCTTCATGTTACTCATTCACATGGCCGTCCTGAACACGACCACCAATTCGGAGCTGGGCTTAAGTGTTCCTGAGCAGACCATAAACCCATGTTCCTCACCCAACATCTCATCCCTCCCCAGGTTCCTTAAACCTACCACCACTCTGGCCTCAGTCCCATTCTCTGTGCCTTCCATACCCTCCCCAAGGCCCATCCTACCTTGAGCTCGTTGGCTTCAATGTAGCCACTTCTGTCTGTGTCATACTTCCGCCAAGCCTGCAATGGGAATGCCAACCTATTTGCGAAGACCTGTCAACATCTATGGGCCTCCTTCCAATTCCCTTTAACGGACCAGTTTGGGTCTTGATGTTCAAGAATATTCCCGGGGCATGGGGACATGGAGATGGTCTAGCCCACTCCCCTCCGTGTCGCAGATGAAGCAATGGGGGCAAGTGTCTTGGCCCAGGTCACACAGAGAAGGAAAACAAAACAAAACAAAACAAAACACTGGGACGATGTCTCCCTACTCTAACTGGTCTGGGTCTCTTTTTGGATCATTTTGTAACTAGGGTTTTGGTTTTCTTTTCTTTTTTTGGACAGGGTTATGGTTTTCTAAGGTGCTAGCCAAGCAACTTCTAGCACTAGGATCTGGTGGATCTGATTTTTGCTGTGGGTATACAGCATGTTCTTTTACTGCTCTGGAAGTTTCTCATTCTCTGGGTGGGGCCAGGGGCAAGGGTAAGAACCTTCTGGAAGGGGCAGACTTAGGCTTTGGTTCCTTGTCACTGTACTCCCTCGTCCATCCCTCCATCATGGTGCCCACGGCATCCACGTCTGAAGGGGAGAAGAATTGGTAGTGTCGTCAGCTTGTTTAGGCTCTCCCAGGCGACTCCCCATCTTTCTGATAAAAAGCGTTCCTTCCTCTGTTTTTTTAAGGAAACCACTCTCTCCCTGCTCAATCCAGAGGGCCCCATTTTCCCAGATCTTTGATCTATGTTGGTGCCTTTCAAGGCTTCTTCCCTTGACTTTTCCTCTCTTGTCCCTCAGCTCCAAAGCACACACTGCACACGGGTGACACCTGGTTTACTGAGGATCAGCAAGCACTAATTATTTTGCCAAACTTGGATCCCCTGTGTCCCCTCCTTTCTCCATGTCATGTCTCCCTTTTATTGTCTGGAGGCTGAGTTTATAGATATCCGAGGATCTTTTTTCCATACCAGCAAGCAAGGCTGTGTAATTCTTATGGGATTGTGGTGGCTCAGGAAATTTGGTAGTATTTTTTTTTTTTTTTGGATGCTGATTTTTTGAAAAGTTTTGAGACATGAGTAAACCCCAGCAAAAGGGTAGATGTATACCACAGACAACTTGGGTAGATGGTATTTGATCAGGGGAGTGTCTTTTCTCTGGGGGAAAAATGCATTGGTTCCATCCAAATATTCCTTCCTGTGCCCAGAAAACCTGCCCTTGAGAAAGTACTAATATGTGCAGATTTACAAATATGACTTCACCAACCAACTGCATGTACTTAGTGCCTTAGAATTTAGTTCATCTGCGTCTTGACTGGGAAAAAAGGCAGACACCCCCTAAGTTGCCTAAAAGGAGGGTAACCTGGGTGTGCCTGGTAGCTCAGTTGGTTGAGCATCTGCCTTTGGCTCAGGTCATGATCCCAGGGTCTTGGGATCGATTGGGCTCCGCGCTCAGCGGGGAGTCTGCTTCTCCCTCTCCCTCTGCTGCTCCCCCTGCTTGTGTTCCCTCTCTCTCTCTCTGACAAATAAATAAGTAAAATCTTTTTTTTGAAAAAAAGGAGGGTAACCCGAAGGGACCCCAGTCCACTCAGAGCAAAGCATCGCTTTGCTTTTTGCTTTTCTTTTGGGAGAGATCCTCCGAGCGGGTCTGACCTCCCTCCCTCCCTGGCCCCGCCTCCATCCCCCAGACTCGCCCTGCTCACTTCTCTTCCCACCAGCACTTTGTGCTCCTCCATCAGTGGGTCATTCTCTTCCCATTCAAGGAAAAGAGTTCAAGGGACCTGGGCTTTGTGAAATCTCAAAGAAATCCTGAGGCATCGCTAAAATTAGAAATTACAATGTTGTGCTTAGCAGTGGGACGGAGCTGTCTGTCCGCACTAGCCTTTCAGGGAGGCACAGGGACCAATTCATGTTTCCAGCTGATAAAAATGGAACAAATGGCCAGCCCCAGGGGGGTGGTGCTGTGGGATGGTGGGGTCTCGGGAAACTCGGTTGGGGGTATTGGCTCAGCAGTTATACTGTAGATTAAAGGATAAAGACAGATAAGAATATGGAATCATGTCAACGACACAGAGAGAAACCACTAATGACTTTGGGAGAGGGGGACAGAGACAGAGAAAGGTATTTTTTGCTTCTCTTTAAGCATTTCCGTCCCCTCCGCAAACTATCGTCATCCCCATTTTCCAGATCAGAGGTGGGATAGAGGCCAATCCTTGGCTGCCTCCCTGCCCATCAGGGAGGGAGCCATCAGGCATAACGCTCCCTTTTCTACAGACAGAAAAATCGACTCTCACAAAAGCAGTACTCTGACAAGGAGACGCAGACCTTCCCCTCACCCCCCGCCCCCCTGCAAGACAGGCAAGAGAAGGACTAAGAACAGAATCCAGAATGTCAATGACCAGCTTATGGAATCTTGCCATCTCGCCATCTTGAAAAGCCTGGAGAAAATCCTTTAAAGCACCATAAAATTAAATCCATATCTGATGCTTAGGCAAGCTGCCGCTTAAAAAATGACTTTTCTCCCCTGAGAATCAGTTCTTTCCAAGCAACTTTCTACCCATGTAGGGAACTCCATGCCATGTGGGTTTCTGGACTAACTCTCCATTAGTTTTAGGCAGTAAATCACGGAGAGGGGATTACCGGTGTCTGGACATGGATTTAACATGAGAAATGGCAACTCAAGTCAAGTTGAAGGCCAGTCATTATCAGAGCAGACAGTGTGTGGGAGGGTATCGGTTAAGTTTCCCTCCGAGGGACACACATATTGAACAGCGAGGGTGCAGAGTCCAGAAAAATACCAAGAAATAATTGGTACTTTGCTGGGTATCAGGATTAGTCATGTATTTGGTTGAGTCATATGGAATTTCCGATTTTTATAAATCAAAAATGGTCAAATATTAGTGATTTCACATGGTTTCATCTATCGGTTGAATATTACTAAAAAAAAACTACGTGAGTTTGGATGGTCTGTTTCACTTGAGGATTTCAAAGAATTTCTGTTGCACAGATCTATTTTAAAGGGGGGCACTGACGTGTAGACCACAGTTAAGAATCAGAACTGGAAGATACTGCGAACTGGAATCCCCTTGCCCCCCGCCCGAGCTTTTCCAACTTTGGGATGGCACATAAATCCATGCTCCCCACACATGCTCCTTGGAGCCCTGACTTCAAGGGACATTGATGTTATTGAGAACACAGTACGTGAGATCTGGAAGCCAAATGACGTGAAACAGACCTCTTCACTGCAGGATTTCTCAGAGACTGTAAGATGGAAATGTCCATGACCAAGTCCCAAAGGGGAGATAAGTGTGTACATAGCATTTCCCAAATGTACTTGCCCACATTTACTTCTCATTGTATCCTGCACGCTTTGACGTGCACATATCATTTGGGGATCTTGCTGAAATGTAGATTTCTGCGTGGGTCAGGGACTCTGAGTTTCTCACACGCACTCAGGTGATGGTGATGCTGATGGCATTGGTCCAGGGACCATGCTCTGAGTCTTGGAGTTCTAAGGGGTTTAGCATGGCCCAGGGGACCACTCCCAGGAGGCATTGGGGTGGGCCTGGCTCTGAACATGGGAGAAAGGCAGCGCCTTGGCCTCACCTCCATAAACTCGGTGCTGGAGCCCACGTGCTGCCTAAAGCACAGAAGGAAGTTCTCCTCCGTTGGCAGGATCTGCGCCAGCTGTGGGGGCCAGAGAGCGACAGAGACGTTAAAGGGCCCTGCCAGGGAGCAGAGCAGACTTTCCTGGAGGGAGGATGCTGAATGACCAGCGGCAAGGTAGCGTGGGAGCTGCATTTTGCTTTTCTTCCTGAGAACAGCCCTTCAAAAGGGAAGAAGGATGTTCTGAGAAGTGGATCTGGGTCGCCCCACATCTTAGGTGTGAGCAGCTAGAGGGACAGACAGTGGTGCCACTTTAAAAATGCAAGTATCCGGTCTTCAAAAGAATAGTTAATAGATGATTCCATCTATATAAAATTCTAAAAAATGCAAACTAATCTGAGATGAGTGGTTGCCTGGGGTTTTTAACCGCGATAGAAATGCTGTATCTTGATTGCGGTGGTAATTACATGGCTGTGCACAACGTCTAAACTCCCAGAACTTGGCTCTTCCAATCAATGCAGCTTATTGTACTTAAATTATCCCTCAACAAATCTGATTTTTAGACAATGCAAAAATACCCTAGTTCAGCAAACACGGCTGGCTGTTCCGGACATACTTTGCTCCCAGCTTCCTTGGGTCACAGGCAAATCCTGATTGGTCTGAGTCAGCTAAATGTGCCAATCCTGTTTCCCTTGCCAGGGATTGGCTTATGAACAGGCATGTGACCTAGTTCTGGCCAATGAGAGGTGAGGGGAGGTCTGCTAAAAGTACTCCTGGGAAAGGTTTCCTTGCCCCCAGGAGGGGCCAAATGAGATGGATCCTTCCTGCATCCGGACGTGGGTGCGTCCGGATGTGATGGCTGTAACAGGAGCCCAGCCTGAGGATGAAGCTATTTTGGGGGGCAGAGAGCTGCAGAGAAGCAGGGCTGGGGGCCTGGCCTCCTTCATCTGGAGCCAACCCTTCCTGTGGCTTGTCTCATTAGGAGCCTCTCATGGTTTAAGCCAGGAGTAGGTAAACAGTGGGCCATGAGCCAAATCTGGCCCAATGCCTGTTTCTGTAAATGAACTTGTCTTGGAACGGGGCCATGACCATTCATTTACATACTCTCTATGGCTGCTTTCGTGCCACAGTGGCAGAGTTGAAAGAATTGTGACAGAAACTATATGGCCTCCAAATCCTAAAACATTTACCATCATCTGGATCTTTCCAGAAAAGAGTCTGGTGACCCCTGGTTTAAGCCCATTTGAGCCCATTTTCTGAGACTTGCAGCTTAGACATCTATGCTCTTGGTGCCCTTCCCAGATCCCCCCTTAGCTAGGCTGGTGGGCCATCCCTCACGCCATGAAGGACACCGGCTAATGGCTCAGAGCTGCCCCCTGCAGCAGAGCTGCCCTCCAACAAACCACCTCCCTGACCTGGAGGGGGCAGCCTGAATCCCACGACTGACTGAACTGGGGGTACAAAGGACCACCCCATCCCTTGCCCCAAGGTGAGACCAGCTCTGGCACAATCCACACGCCAGAGCTTGCCGTGAGATCAGGCCAAGACCCAGCTCCAGCTGAGACTGCGTCCTTCCTTAGCTCCTTCCTCTGCCTCTTCCCTTCTGCTGAGAGTTCTCTCTCCATAAATCCATCCCATCCACTTGAATCTCTGTCTCAGTCTCTGCTTCTGGGGCACTGCCCTGAGGCAGCATCCCACCCAATCCACCCTGGGAGGAGCTATGCCCTCATTCCTGTACTGCCACCATTATTCCTGAGCCCTGGACCACACATCACAAACTGATGGCCACAGGCGTTTGGTTAGGCTGGCACACACATGCGTATGTGTGTGTGTGTGTGTGTGTGTGTGTGTGTGTATGTGTGTATACATAAGTTGTTTAATTAAACAAGGAAGCCATTAAACGGAGGTGGGCTTAACGCCTTAGTAGCCTCTGTGAGCAAACCCAAACCGAAACTGAACAGCCGACAAGGTGCTCTCAAATAATGCAGCCACTTAAGCTCTAGCCAGTCAAATGATTCCCTTGCTCTGCTCCCACCTCTTCTCTATAAGAATCTTCCCCAGCTACTGTTGGTGGAGTGTTCCTAGCCACCTCTGGTTTAGCACTGCCCCATTCAAATCAATTTTTGCTCAAATACACTCTTTAAGTTCTTAACATGCCTCTATTTCTGTTTTAGCAATATGTGTTTATGCAAATATAAACGTGTGTGTATTTATATTACATATATATGATACGTGCTATATATGCAAATTAGATGTTTAAAAATTAATTAATTAAAACTGTTGCCTTCAGATGCCTTTCGGCGGGGCACGAACTGTCTTGTTCTCCAGCTGTTGTGCTCCTTCCTCTCTTAAGCTGGGATCCTCACCCATTTGCAGTAGCTGCTGGGACCGTGACAGCACCTAAGGTCTCCATCCCTGTCTTAGGCCAATGTTTGTTGCTTCTTTCCTCGTGAGGCACAGAAAAAGTCCCGCCTGTTCTCGTTGGTCAGCCTAAGTGCTGGAGGTGGGGTGGGGGCTTCCAGACCACCCCCCATTTAGAGGCCCAGAAGGACACCTGTGCTTGGCGGAGTAGCTCTTAGCCAGGACGGTAGGACTCACCTCAGCCATTTCGATTTTGCCGTCCGAGTTCTTGTCATACTTCTGCATGAACTCCTTCATCTTCTCCCCAAAGTTGTCACTCTTTGACATCTGAGGAAAGACAGAGGGGGGCTGACTGGGCTGCCGGGCCCCATGGGAACCACGGATCTCTCACCTGCTTGGTGTGGTAGTGGCGTGAATCATTCTGTGCCCCCAAATGTGGAGGCACGGAACCAGGCCGGGCTGATTCTCTGAGTGGTCAGGTCTGCACTCTTCTCCTTCCCAAGATCCTTCCAAGCCCAAGCGATCTCTCCTTTGAGGCTCAGTCACATGAGGACATATACCCCACCCCCATGCAATTCATGCAATCAAACATGCCCTCTGCCTTTGAGACAGGATTAAACCACAACTGTATCAGAAGGGCAAGGACTTATTCCTATCACTCCGATGTGAGAACTGAGGCCCCAACATTTTACCAAGGCAACTTCTCATACAAGCCAACTTATTCCACAAGGAATATACTAGCACTATCCGAGAGCAAGGTAAATCGCACATTTTCTTCTCTCAGGTCTAAAGGCAATTCATGACCTTTTTCACCCTAATTTTATGCCAGGAGGGAAGGTGAGGAGAAAGTCTTCATAAAGCTGAGGGGTAATTTCAATTATCCTTTAGATTATTGTGACTACTCCAAAGGCAGACAACTTCAAAATCTCCTTTAGCCCATCACTACCTACTTTAAATATAAGGCTCTCCAAAATTCTCCAATCTTAGCCTGTTTTGGGTGCTGCTGAATAATTCTATGCATTAATGGACTCTTCCTCGTCCCTCACCAATGGTCAATCTGCTTGAGCAGCTGAGGACTCTTGCCTTCTCTGATGACTTCTGGGTGGGCTGGGGGCTTCCTCGGATTGGGCCCAGGAGAATTCTACCCATTCTTCAGGTTAGAGTCTTTTCTGTATACCCTTCTACTGCTTTCTACCTGGGAACCGGCTTTAATTTGCCACGATTTATTCATCAGTATTTATTGCCTTACATTTACAAGTGTGCACGGAATGTTCCTACGCCCCTATCTCAGATGGGGTCAGCCGGTTTAGCTTTCACAGCAGCCCCAGTGAGGTGAGTCGCCTGTCCCTTCTACACTTCAGTGCAGGCTGAGGTGAAGGGTCTTCTCCCGAGGTGACCACCCGGTGTAGCTAGAGTTGGAACTCGTGGTGCCTGCTTCCAAGGCCAATATTCCTTCTGCCCTATAACAGCTGCTCTGAACGCCAGTTCCGGATGGTGTCAGTTGAGATGGTTGTTGACAGACTTGAGAGTCACCCCTGAAGCCATCTGAGGAAGGGAGCGACTAAGATTTCAGACTAGAAGCACTTCATCAAAACCCATTCCCCCACCTGCCCCAGGATCCCAGAATCAGTTTTGAAGCCTGGGTTTTCTGTGATGCAGGCTTCTTTATCCTAGTAATGAGGGGTCATAGGGGAACAGTTGATAAACAAACCCATGAATCATCGCCATCGCCTAAGCCCATGGCCAGACCCCCCCTCGCTGGGGGCACTCTGCTGGGCTCTGGACCAGAAGCTCACCGGTGGATTTGTGACTCATCTCCCAAAGTGCCCCATGAAGACTTGCTAAGAAGCAGCGGACCGGCCAGCAGACATGCAGCTGGGGAGAGTGGGGAGACCCCCAAAGGACCAGCGGGAGCTGGGCGTGGTAATGGGTCTGACTATGTATCTTTGAGAACTAGACGTGGGAATCCCAATAAACTAGTTCCAATTACCTCAGCTTTTCAGTATTTCAGACAGTCCTCCCAAGGCTTCAGTGAATTTAATAGTGGCAGCTCGTGACTACGGGCCCCACAGTGACCCTACCATGAAGGGGCTGGGACGTGATTTGGAGTCGCTTCAGGCAGGTGAAGAAAGGCAGTCTGACACCACCACAGATGAGGCCAGTAGGTACTACCTGGTTCAGATGCTGGTTTGGAGTAATCCTGTGTTCCTCTAGGTCCTTGCTGAGGATTCCAGATTCTGTTGGTCTAGAACAGTGGTTCTCTGGTGGGGATTATTCTGTGCCCCCCACAGGGGACATTTGGTGATTTCTCAAGACATTTTTGATTGTCACAACTTGGAGGGGATGCTCCTGGCATCTCATGGGGAGACCCAGTGGTGCTGTTATGTATCCTACAATGCACAGGACAGCCCCTCCCCACGACAAAGAATTATCCAGCCCTGTCAGTAGTGCCGAGGCTGAGAAACCTCAGTCTAGAATAAAGACACTTCAAACCCCTGAGGCATCCAACTGAGTCGTGACCCCCCCTGAGAATCTTAGGAAAAAAAAAAAAGCTTTTATACACATATACACAGACACAAAGCTTTGCAGTTTTGGGGGGTTCAGTAACCCCTGGTATCCATTCATGAACACCCCTCAATCCCAGACACCCAAAGATACTGCAGGAAGGTTCTCTTTTTAAAGGATGATTCCAATTGAAAAAATCCTTACAAATAAAAGAAAAACTTGGAAGGTCAAGACCAGAGATGTCAGGCTGGCTTAGGAGATGCATAACTTGGGGACAGACAGTGCTGACCAAAGCCGCAATCACGATGATAGAAAAATCAAACAATGGGACAGAGTACTGGGCTTACCATGCCAGATCCTTTTCTTGCCTTCTCCAGCTCTTGGAAAAAGTTTTCTAGCTCTTTACCTTCAATGTACCCATTTCCTGTGAAGAAAGCAAAGCAAAAAAAAAAAAAAAAAAAGCAATTGACCTCAGAGCTGAATAGTAAGACTGATGGGGGGTTGGTGAGGGGATGGGGAAGTCAGGGGCTTCGTGGAGAACTCCTCCCTGGTCAACAAGCAGGTGTCTGGGTTGGCCTCGGATCGTGCAGCATTAGGGATGCAGGTCCTGCTTTCAACTGTACGGCTGCAAGATTAGTAACCGTGTGTCTTTGGGGTATACTTTCAGTAGTCAGAGAACGCTGGGAGAGACCGGCATCTGGGCCAAGCTGGTAGAAGTGGGCCGAGCCGGAACTGTCTGCAACTGGCTGGGAAACCACTAGGAGCTGGGGGAGAGACACAGAAGGACTGTCCCCAAGAGCCTCCAGAAGGAAGCATGCTGCCTACACCTTAGTTTTGGACCTCCAGCCTCCAGAACGGTAAGAGAAAAAAAACTCTGTTGTTTTAAGCCACCCGGTCGGTGGTACTTTGTTACAGCAGCTCTGGGGAACTAGAAAGAAAGAAAGGCAGAGCGTCTGTCCTTTGGGCTGGGGGTACCCGGGAGTGTCAGTCACCAGGATTATGCAGAGGGGAGGCGACCCACTGCAGGGCCATGAAGAGAGGAGGCCGTGAGGTTTGTGGACGCAGAGTAAAACCCTGTTCTGCTCACTCACTACCTGTAGGACTTTGGAAAAGTCATTTAACCCATGTCAGCTGCAAAATGAGTTTTGACACTGAAACGGGATTTTGTATGTAGAGCCCACCAAGCCACCCATTATGAGGGGACGGTAAATGTGGCTCTTATTCCAGTTCAGTGACCACAACGTGAGGAAAAGATGGAACGAGTTGGGGTGAAAAGTGCAAAGATCAGGACCGGGCCCCAAGGTCAGCGCCTGACTTTGAAGAGCACATTAAGTGGCGAGAGGCCCTTTAGGTTCTCAAGTCTTGAACCCAGAAGGCCTAGAGACTGGGTGAGCTGAGCCCACGGCCAAGGTCACTAGTCCCTGCTGTGATTGAGAGGAGGCACTTCTGGGTGGGAAATCAGACAGAGCGAAGACAGTGCTCCCCACATTCCCCCAAACTGGAATCTCCTGGGATCATTAAAAAAAATGGATTTCTGACTTCCACCCCCAGACATGCTGATGTAATTGGTTTGGGGTGTGAACGAAGCATAATGAGTTTTTTTGTAAAGCTCCCCAGGTGATTTCCATGTGCAGCAAGTTTGGAAACCACTGGCCTAAAGTCAAGTTTCAGATCTGATTTAAAATGATTGAGCAAGGTTCCTATAGAGAATAGTCACCTGCTAGCTTTCTTCAAGGGCAGATGGAATTTCAAACGAAACAAAGAAAATAAAAAAGGAGTATTTATCCTGGCCCTTGGGGGTGGGATGGGGTGGGGGTTCTTCCCACCCTCTACCCCCTGGCATCCCCTGAGAATTTTCGATTCCCAACAATCGAACCGTGGAGGCGCCCCCCTAGTGGAGAAGATGCTACAATAAACATGCATGGAGGATCCCGGGAGATAAATGATGTAGTTTTGTCTGCAGGGAAAAGATGTAATTGTATTTAGCGGGTGGAGGAAGGGGACTTGAGCTCCCTTTTTCCCCTGGCATAGAGTGGTCATCGTTCTTGGGACAGTTGGAATTTCGCGAGCGTGTATCTAATGGCCCGTGAGGCCGGCTGGAGAGGGGGCGTGAGGGCCAAGGGTTTTCTAGGCAAAAGGCAGTCTAGCTGCTGGTGCCTCCGAGTTGAAGGAGCAAGTACCTTTTCTCTTCCTCATCAGTCTCTGCAATGATCTGGAAGGATGGGTTTCAGCTCTGACTGGCACGCCTCACCAGCCTGAGAGCCGACCCTGCTACGAAGGGGGGTGCGGGCAGGTTACCCACACTTCTTGCAGAAGTATCCACACCCACTTCTTGTCCTGCCTCTTTTACTCACTGGTTTGCTCTGGGATGCCACCTCTCCAGACCTGTTTCCTCACCTATAAAACAGGGATAATGACGGTGCCTTCCTCCTACGTTTGGCAGTGAAGACCCCCATGGGGGTAAAAACACATGGAACGTGTTGGCCCACGGTGAGCCTCCAAAATGCCAGTGGTCATTACCACCACGGCTGGTGTTTCTGTTGGCTGCCCAGGCTGGGGAACACCTTGACCTTGGGCTGCTTGCTTTAGGCCGAGAAGATCTGGGGTGCAGGAGGAGGCCAAAGCAGGTGCAGCCAGCACTGAGCCATGTCCCATTGAGCAATATGAATGGGAAAAAGAAAAGTAGAAAAGTACAGGGGCGCCTGGGTGGCTTAGTCGTTAAGCATCTGCCTTCGGCTCAGGGCATGGTCCCCGGGCCCTGGGATCCAGTCCTGCATCGGGCTCCCTGCTCAGCGGGAGGCCTGCTTCTCCCTCTCCCACTCCCCCTGCTTGTGTTCCCTCTCTCGCTGTCTCTCTCTCTCTCTGTCAAATAAATAAATAAAATCTTTAAAAAAAAGTAGAAAAGTACAGACCTGTGGGACCCACTTTTTCCTTGGGGTTTCTCTGAAACTTACAAAGAATAAATGTACTTACGTTTATTCTTGTTCTGGAAAGGTTTAATGGTGGTTTAATAACCTCCAGAACCGGTCAGCTAGCACCTTGCCCAGCAGGAGACATGGACACTTGTGAACATCAGGATACAACACTTCTAATTTTTCAGAGCATATTTGCTTCTTTCTTTGCTTCAGGAGATAGTCTGAAACCTCACTATGTGTAAGGCCCTGTGTAGGTTGCCATTGGGGGTGGGTATGACAATGTACAAGATCGAGCTCCCATCTTTCAAGTTGTCACACTCCTTCCAGACACACAGGATCATAACAGGGCAGAGTAGAATCCTCTTCTTGTGACAAAGAAACTTGAGGCACAGAGAAGGTAAGCAATCTGTTCAGGGACACGCAGCAAGGCAGGACCAGAACTGCAGTATCCTAATTCCTGATCTAGGTTTCATTCATTCATTCACTCATTCATTCGTTCAACATTTCTTGAGCATCCACTTTGTGCCTGCTGTATGCTAGGCACCAGGTGTGTAAAAGTGAGCTAGACGGGGTCTGCCAGGATGGGGCTTATGTTCTAATGGGGTGGGGACGGGGCAGGGGCAGACAAATAGCAAGGAAAAGGAAAGATGATATAATAGAACGGAGACGGGCTCCCAGGGCTACTTGATGGGGAGGGCAGAGAAGGCCTCTCTGAGAAGCCCCAGCTACTAGGCAGAGGAAGAGAAAGGGAAGAATAACAGCAGAGGCAGTGGGGAGGAGCCAGGAGAGTGCCACGGTTAAGAGGTCCCCTCCCCGCACCCACCCTGCACGGCCTGAGCAACCTTCTAGGAATCCCACCACCACTTCCTCTCCATGCCCCCAACAAAGAGAGAAAAGGTAGCTCAATTCAACAAACCTATACTGTTGCAAGTAAACAACAGTTTGACTTTGTCCCCGGTGCTCAGGGAGCTATAGACAAGTCCTAGATACGGGCTTATTCCCCAGGAGCATTCATGGTCTAGTGGGGCAAAGCAGCCAAACAAGAACAACCAGGATCTACCAGCTGAAGGCGGAGGGAGAGGGGCAGAGATCGGAGAGGGAGGCAGGGGCTGCGGGGCCCCGGAAGGGGCAACCTCCTCACTGGGGAGAAAGGCCTTTCCTACTTGGTCTCCCTCAGGGCAACCCCCATCCACTCCCCCAGGCAGCTGCTATCCCCGTCTGGAGTGGAGGACGGGTTGACCTACATCCTTCCAGGGCGGACTTCAGCACAAGAAAAATGGATTACTTTTTCTAGACCCTCGTATCAGGGCTTTGGGGTGACTGGCCACCAAGCAAATCTCCTGTGGACAGGCATTGATAAGAATGTGGTTACCATAGCAACCACCACTCCTTACCTTCCTATCAAACCACATCCTGAGAACATTAGGAAGAAGGGGCTGGGTGGGAGTCAGGGGCCCTGCATCTTCCCTTATTGTACTCTTGCTACTATTCTTCACCACCACTGTGCCTCAGTTTCCCTCAGTTGAAACAGACAACAGTACTTGGGGGCGCCTGGGTGGCTCAGTCGAGTGTCTGATTTTGGCTCAGGTCAGGATCTCAGGGTCCTCCAATCGAGCCCCTTGTCTGGCTCCTTCTTCCTGCTCAGTGGGAAGGCTCCTTAACCCTCTCCCTCTGCTCCTCCCCCAGCCCTCGTGCCTGCGCGCATGCACGCTCTCACTCTCATAACCAAAAAAATATTTAAAAAAAAGTGAGACAACACTTCTTTACAATTAAGCTGATCACAGACACCTGGAAAGCCTTGACCGACAGATGCTCTGCCCCCCGTTGGAAAGAGGCCTACCTACTTGTTTCTCACTGAGATTCATATGTACAGATTTTTCTAAGAGTTGAACAGTAAGAGGTATAATTCTGCCACCAGCTCTGTGACTGTCCATGTGACGTCGAGCAAGTCAATCTTTCTGAGCCTCCATTTCTTGATCTCTAAAATGAGTATAACTGTTTATGCCCTTTCTGCTTCATAGAGCTGTTGTGAGAGTCACACAAAGTATTGTTGTGAGAGCATTCTGGAAAATGTAAAATCTCACATGAGTGGAAAGCATCATTTTTTAACCTCTGTCCTCTGAACCAGTCCATGGCTTTAAACTCCTCAGCTCATTGTAGAGAGTACTGGTTTTCAGCCCAGGCTGTCTATCAGAGTCACCTGGAAAGCTTTTAAAACAATACCATTGTCTGGGCCTCACCCCTAAAGCTTCTGATTTAATTGATGGGGTGGGGACTTCTTGTGGGCCTGTTTTCAAAGCTCCCTAGGTGATTCTAACGTGCAGTCAGGGTTAAGGACCGTTTTATGGTGAGTCTCAAGTGTTAAGGGATGCAAGAATTACCTGGGGATCTTATTAAAGTGGAGAGTCTAATTTAGCAGGTCTGGAGGATGAGGGCTTGCTGTTGGAAGTGGGGTCTGTGGAACAACAGCATTGGAAATACCTGGGAGCTTGTTAGAAGTGCAGAATCC